AAAGATGTAACAACGCCACCATACCGGACAACATACCCAAATGGAAGGAAGAATGGACCAGGACTCATACTCACCAACAAAGCCCCAAGGTAGAGTTGCACCGCCCTGCCATTCTACCGGACAGAACGACCAGACCAACACAAACGACCCAAAATATATATATATGTACATATTATGTCTTTGTCTGTGAAAATGTCCGTCTTTGTCCATGTCTGTTGCGTCAAATCGCATGCTTGTAAATGTCTACTAACACCTGTTTCGTCCTTTGCACATGTTATCCTACTGTTGTTTATTGTCCTGTGTACATATATATGAAAACCTAACCATCATAATATTTCTCACTAACCACATTGTAAATTAATGCACCTTGAACACATAACATGTAATTGTCTGCGATATCACCTCGGTGGAAGCGGACGTAAAACACAACTAACAAGTAGTAGTAGTCATCCCGAAGAAGTTTTAGCAATGACGCTACCAAATTTATTGAGTTGATTTACATGTTAAACATGCGCGTCAATATATATGTCCCCAAGGGTAATTAAAACAACGATACCTGTTTAAAGAAATACGCTGTCACGTTGGCATCGCGAAAAACCAGGAGGACTCGAGTTCGGTCGCGGTGTTGACTGAGAAAGGTCATCGAGCATACACCAGACAGTGTGCTATGACGGAAATTTTGCCCGGACAACTGTGAAGTTTTCTTTTACGTGCACGCCAATATCTTGACACAGTCGTTCGGGAGTTGGAATTCGATGAAGAGCAGACGTAAAAACCTCTGTCCGTCCGCGCACATTGCCATCATAGCACATTGCATGGTGTATGTTCGTCTTCATTGGCAAAGTCACTGCAGAAAAGTAGGACATTAAGTAGGACATTTCATATCGAAGAAATACAAATTTTCAGTTTCCATGTCCTTTTCATGTCCGAATGGTTAACGCGTGCTTGTTGGAGAATAAGGTCTTTCATTGACTCAAGTGACCTGTCCAACCTTCACTGCTAAAGACCCTCTCTTCCGCGTCCTCAAATACGTTGCTGATATATGTGTTTGGATAACCACGTCTATCAACCTGAACAATCTTGAGATACACGAATTGGAAGTAGCATACAAGTAAAGATGTAACTACCCGTCTTATGTTTCAACGTAACCAACTATATTACCCTTTTTCTTCTAAATCATGGAAACACTTTAAGTGTAAATAAAAGCAACCAAATGAGTCAAGTTAATGGTGGTCTAGATCCGTATAGCTGTAAGTGATTGTCGCTATGATCAAATCACTCACACAATTGAAGACCTGCATTTACGTAACCATGTTGTGATCATTCCAAAACGACTCAATATTTTGATTTTAAACTTTCAGAAAAGGTAAGTCGGATATAGCCTCACGTTCTGGCGTTCGATTTGCATAGTTAAACCACATTTTATTAACGGTGTCCTCTATGAAGTTATAATACGTGAAAAGTTACGTTGAAGTTTTGTCCGGCCATCCAATCCCTTTGCTGATTATAATAATTAGAGAGGCGGGGATAAAAGCAATAACAGTGGCAATTCGGCTAACGTGGTGGTAAAATTAATATGACTGATAATGACAACAGCAATGCTGGCATCAGGAACTTGGGTTATTTTGATGATGACGAAGATGGTAAATTTTTTAAAATAAGAGTTGATAAATTTTGCCATCCTAATAAACGTGGCTCTGTCAATGTTTAATTAATGATATACAAGAACAAAATTGGATTTTATATTTTCATTTGAAGCCTCACTTACTTGTAATATATATTCAGAGTATTAATTAATGTCTTGTAAATACTTCCATTATCTACACAAAAATAAATGTGCGGCAGCCGCTGTTGACTTAGCTTATGTATTTTTCGTTGCAAGAAATTTAACAAATCAATCCAATAGGGCACAATTTAGTGTTCTTAAAATCCAATTTTGTTTTATATTGTTAATTTATTTATTTAAACGTATATCGATTATTCCGGTTTATCAGTGACATATCTAATGGATGTCTGCATGTGTTTCTTAATATCCTTTCAGAATTCCAGGTGTGTCAAAAAGCTAGAGAATTATTTTCCGTTTAATATTGAACGGGGTATCTCTTTTGATTACAGAAATAAATTAATAACGACTCTAGTGTTGACTGATTGATCTAAAATATGGCTATCAACGTGTGAATTTACTGTATTGTAAACACCGAATGTTAGATACGAAGGCCTAATATGTGATTATTACATGATATTAGGGCAATGAAGAGATATATACTACCTCTTAAACATTGATGTCTTTACAGTGGGTATTTATTGGCGTAAATCGGTCATAATCAGCAAATACGTATACACCTTGTAAATTATACGCTCAAAGCAGGGTGTCGTTAATCCACGTATCTGAAAGCTTAATTTGTTTGCTTTTAAAGTAAATTCTGCCTTATCACACTGTGGATAATCATTATAGTAACACCTGCAAACTAAACCGACAAAATTTGAATATTAAAAGATATATAACTTGGCTAAATTGAAAGTTTCCTTTGTCTAAGTGCCATATTATTATGACAGTAAAATACAATATCATCTTTCAAACTGAAATCCTATATGTTCACCATAGATTTTTTGGGCAATATGAATGCTATGTAAAATAGAATTTAAAGATGAATTGATTTGTATAAATCCACAACGTGCAAGTATTTGTCATCACACCTGTCCGTCGAGTGCGTTTTAGTGTGTTGTTCACAATTTCCGTAAATACTTAGAGGTCAGAATATTTGAGTATGTGTTCAAACTTGTTACTTTTTTTCTTGGCTAGTCATAAGGATGAACTCTATCGAAATTCTGAAAAATAATCCAAGCTTGTGAACGCTCTACAGCTCAGAGTTTTTCAAACTTTTGTTGGTATTGCTCGATCGGTCATAAAGGGGAATCCTATTGCAGCGCCTCACGTAATTGATTGCTCTGTTATTGCCCCTGTCACCGGCACCTAAAGTTTTAATGTTGTCTAACACCTAACACTACTAAGTTCCATCTACAATCATAAGACATTCACCGTGTTCAAAAGATCTTAAAGTTAAAATGTAACCACAGAGGAAGGAAATTTTGAATTATACCCGGCTTTTTGTAACGCAATGAACATCGGCGCCAAATTTTGTTCCACTGAGCATAGCCAAAAGTCCAAAACATAAGCGTGAAGAAAACATCACAGATTACAATCACTGTTTGAAAGTGATCATTATTACGACACAGGGAGTATTAAATCATAAGTATTGACAACCTTCATATGCGTCGCGAACAAACGCTATAAGTTCAAATGTAAAGCGGACGGGGGTGGGGTTAACTCTTGCCAGTGACCTAATGAACAAATCCCTTCGCGTTTAAGAATATCAATGAAAAAACTACCGCATTGATATGCCCGGAATAACTTGCGGTTTTAAAGTCAGGGGTGTCTTTGGATATAACAGGGGAATTTGGGGGTCATTCTTCTGAATGTTTTTCTTTAAACCTGTAACGGGTTATTCTTCCAAGGTAGGTTTCTTTTTCCATAATAAAACATGATATAAGCTTTTTATTACTGAAATTCTGGGATATTCTCATTGCACGTACATGTAAACATAAACGTTTTATAAGCAAGATGAAAGTCCTCGACTTCGCTTATGCTGGGGAAGAAAGACTTCAGAGAAAAAAACCTCGACAGAAAAACCTGGGAATATAACTCTGTGCTTTGCTCTTTGGATATTCTGAATTTCGACAGGGTTTTTGTTTATTGACTAATGAACAACCCTGAGAATTTTTAAAAAAAGTTTGAAAGAAATGTGAATGAACATATTGACAACGTACACTTTGGACGAGAATTTCGCATAAATTAATGGTAGGCGTGTAAAATCATACCTACAGCCTATAGATTACGATATCGGGATAAACTCGTATGGTTGTTCATAAAACCGGTATTCTAAAATATATTCGGGTGGTATCCAACGTTTTTGGAATCTTACATTATGCACATAAAGATACATAATCTTATGCTTGCCAGAATTAACCGATTACTCATATAATCCCCATAAGCATTTCGGTAGACCTGATGAACCGATCGACGAGGTCGTGACGATAATATACAACTCCAACTGAGGCGAATATCGAAGATTTTAACCAAAAGCTGGTTGGTCAAAGCCAGATGACTGAACTGAGAATACTCTCGCTTGTAGTATTCAAAGAAGATTTTGACCGCCATGTTTTGAGAAAAAAAAATGATGAATACCCAATCAATTAAAAACTGATAACTAAATTCAATTCTTCTTCTCGTAATCATTGTATAATAGATAAAAAAAAAAACAGTTTTCTTCACAGGATCAATCCGCAGTTAACCCACATTTTTTCAATAAAAACAAATAAGTTATCAACATTTTTCAATAAAAAATAATCTCATTATATACAATTGAATGGAAACATGCTACTCTGGCTTTTCTTTTTCTACTGAATGACTAGTGCAGCGTTATTTATTTTCCATTCATTAATACTGTCTTTGAAAATGGATCGGAACTTCGTAGCCGTTATTTCAGGAGCATCCGTATATACAACGAAAAAACAAATACATGATGAGAAAACCGCAAAAAGATCGTCTGCTAACATGTTTTCGATAAAACTTTGTGCCAAAACTTATTTTTTCTGTGAACCCGCTACCCAGGTGTTCTTGGTGCCATTTCTAAAGAAGTTAAAGAAAAAAATGTGCGATTTTTCGGATTTCAATTACCGGCCTCGTAGTGCGTGCCCTGAACAATGGCGATGCCAACAAAAAGGAGCTCCAATCTATTTCCTATCTTGTGCATTTATTACTAATAGTGTGTAATTACGGGCGAATACGTGTTAATTTGGTTTCTCGAGTCCACCTATCAATATCCCCTACCCCCTCTTATCTCTTGTTGAAAGTATTGTGACACTAATTTTAACTACTGCTTACAAATCGTGCTTCTGATAACGGTCGCCGCTAAGTTCACTTCCTTTTCGATCAGCAAGAAGCTCGCGGCTCGGGCTAATTCCTAATCACTCCACAACCTACAGGAAAGGCAAGACTAGAAAAGTAAACTTAGACTCAGAGCTGATTAATGGAATTAAGGATATTAGAGAAATTAATAATTGTTTGACGAAGGAAGGGGTCCGAGGAACAAAACTGTTAAAATCGATGATTGTGGAGATCATGGTGTTATTTGAGATAGAAATTGGCGAAGTAAAATTTTTAGGACAAATGAGCAACTATTGTCGAATGGAAGATTTGCTATGACCGTGTGCGACATCTGATCTAAAGTTGATTTTTGGGCTATTTGTCAACAATGATCTGCTTCAATCACTGAATGCAACGTCTTGAGCTGCCACGCGCTATTCTAAGATACAGCGAATATTTACACAAGATAGCCAATCCCAGTCGAGATTCTAATTATGCCGCTAGAAATAATGTGAGGGGCGCTTTTCTCTTTGAGTAACCTATTGTTATTATCATCCTTACACTCTACACTTTAAGATTTGAGACGGTGCAATCTGGCCACGAGTTATAATCACTGATGCTTTAAAAATCTCACAATTTAAACACGTGTTTTTATATAGTTGTATTGGATTCATCACCACAGAGATTCATCATGGAAGGCAACAAATCTTTTAGTATCGAAGCCCTGTTATCAAAGGGAACTACCAAAACACCTGCCCAGGAACGTCACCCGATGTCATCACCCAGGGGCTGTTCTCCCCGACCCTCATCCTCGGGGTCAAGTCATCCAGGAACACACAGTCCAGATTCCAGTTTGTCTCCAACTGGGATGGGATTGTCACCTAATAGTTTTATACCGCGCCCAGGACTTTTAAATTTACAGCACCCATCTATGTTACAGTCGGTGAGCATGGGCATGCATGGAATATTCCCAGGACACCCTCTGTATACTTATGGGGGACAGAACTGCTCCCCGTCCCCAGTTCCTCTATTGTCGAACAGTGCTTTTCATACTCCGGCCGAACAAGCTTTTAAATTAGCTCAACTTCAAGGACTGAATTATGCAGAATGGTTGGCAAGGTCTGGCATGTACATGTCTAGAGTTGTGGATTATCCAGGAAATTGTAAGTATTATCATTCAATTGTTTTTGTAATGTTGATTGTGGTATTACGTGTTTCAAGTTAAGTTTAGAACGATCTTGGTTTTTATATCTTTATATTTTTAGATACTTAAGTACATTTTATTTTAGTTTTGTTTTTTAATTTTATTAATGGAGAAAATGTTATTTATGTGTCTTATTAATATTATTTTTATTTCTTTTTGTTTGCTTTTTTCACTTTATTCAAATAATAAATTTCTATTAATTTTATAAAGTAAAAAGTACCTTTATCTTGATTTTTTAGAACACCTTTTACTTGAATTTGTTTTAATCATAACACAGAAAGCATGTATATCATATTTTAATTTATGGTGTTTGAATGTGTTATATTTTATAGTGTTCTGGGTTATTGTAATAATAGTGTCGTGGACAAAATAATTTTAGTCTTCTTTATAGTTTTCTTAATGCATAGAATATTACTGGATATGGACACATCTGTCATGAAAACAGTGCCACTGATTAAATATCGATTTAGGGATATGGATACTTTTAATTAGTATCAATATAATTTCTATTGGTGCATCATCGCATTAATTAAAATGAAATACACATTAAGTACATTTTATTTTAGTTTTGTTTTTTAATTTTATTAATGGAGAAAATGTTATTTATGTGTCTTATTAATATTATTTTTATTTCTTTTTGTTTGCTTTTTTCACTTTATTCAAATAATAAATTTCTATTAATTTTATAAAGTAAAAAGTACCTTTATCTTGATTTTTTAGAACACCTTTTACTTGAATTTGTTTTAATCATAACACAGAAAGCATGTATATCATATTTTAATTTATGGTGTTTGAATGTGTTATATTTTATAGTGTTCTGGGTTATTGTAATAATAGTGTCGTGGACAAAATAATTTTAGTCTTCTTTATAGTTTTCTTAATGCATAGAATATTACTGGATATGGACACATCTGTCATGAAAACAGTGCCACTGATTAAATATCGATTTAGGGATATGGATACTTTTAATTAGTATCAATATAATTTCTATTGGTGCATCATCGCATTAATTAAAATGAAATACACATTTTAAAAAATATTTTCATGTGTGTTTATTTTATTTTTATTTTGATAACCATTCACCGTCGCATTTGTAGGTGAATAAAATATTTTTAATTTCAGTGGTTGTTTTCGTTCAATTCTGAAATTCTATTAACTGCTATTCTTTCCACTATTTATTTATTTGTTTCATTTTGTATTTTAAACTATCAATATATTTAATTTCCTTGAATGTGTAACCTGTCACACATTGACCATATAAAATATAAATGCCGGCGTTTAATTTCATAATACATACAAATCATTACAGTTTCGTTTGGGGAAAACAAGCAATAAAATTGTCAAATTATAAATCTTCTAATCGAGAGAAAAAAAATATTCAATGAATTTCTGTTAACATAAATAGTGACGCATTAATATTTTATAGATGCACTTGTGAAATCATAAATTATTATTTTTAGGGTTATCGATAGACACTCATTACATGCTTGTGTTTACGCTAGAACACAAATGGCTAAAACTATTGACATTTACAAATAATCTAACAAATACGTGGTTGTAAGTAATGGGTTACATACTTTACATGATAAATTTTAAGATATTATATATATGTAAAATAAAGAAGTAGATATTACAAATAAAAATATTTATAATACTCTAAATATAATGATAGTACATTATATCCTATATGATTAACTATTTGTTTAATGAAATATCTTTAATATAAAAAGATCAAATGAATTCAGGGTTTATTTATTTTCTTTCAAAACAGCAACAGCAGGAACAACAACAACAACAACAAAAACAAACAAACAACCAACATACAAACAGAAATAACCCCAACAAAATACAACAATAATGATCAAACCATTTATGCTCAACTCATTTTTGGAATTTATAAAGAAAAATATCCCCAATCCAAAAATTAATACAAAAAGTAATTTATTTATTAAAGGAAAATAAATAATACTAATAAGCAAAATTCAGGAAACAATAAAATTTCTTTTTAAATATAGATTTAAGATATTAAACAAACGGTTGTGGGGTCATGGAAAATTTTCAAATGAAAAAAAAACGCCCCCCCCCCCCCCCAAATAAAAAGAAAAAAAAAAGAAATTGAAAGGAGGATTACGATTAGGGTATTCATAATATTTTATCACTCCCACTCAATCTAACGTAGACGACACCAGTTTTATATGCGGATGTGTTTTCATTTGCAATTTTTGGGTTAAAAGGGAACATAAGGGGGGCAAGAATGGACTTTCAAATGACAAAAATCCGCCCCCCCCCCCCAAAAAAAAAAGAAATTTAAAGAAGGATTACGATTAGGTTATTCATAATATTTTTTCACTCCCACTCAATCTAACGTAGACGACACCAGTTTTATATGCGGATGTGTTTTCATTTGCATTTTTGGGTTAAAAGGGAACATAAGGAGGGCAAGAATGGACTTGACTACACTGATGTCGGAAGATAACCGACAAATGTTTGTTTTTTATTTGTATATATGCACGTAGACACACGATTTGTTTGTTATTGAGATGAGTGACATTTTCTGTAATGCTAATAGGCATGATACTGTTTCTGTAAACATTTTGCAAATAAAACTAATTGAAAGGTAAAGGGGGAGAGATTAGTCATGTATATTAGTTCTATTAGTAGTTGTGAAGAAGCACTTGGAACTATTAATCCGATAACCTTCTGCTAGACGGTGGACGTCTCTAAGGGTTAAAGGGCAATCTCGTCATTATTGACTAATATCCCCAACTACTCTTTAGTTGATCACTAGCAACTAATTAACAAGGTTTTGCATTAATGACCCCATATTTTCATCAAATTACTTGCCCATAAAACGGTCGTTGAAAAGAACGATGTCTTGACAATAATAAAGGATAAAGCGACGATTAATCGTGCCATTGTGCCTATTCGTCGATTAGACGGTCCCTTAATGTGTAACAGTAGATTCATTAGAGCACATTTCCATATCTTTGAAAAGACTTAAAGTATTTTGTCGGTGAAATGAGAAAGACTTGAATATGGTCACAATCTGTTCTCTATATAACGATGTGTTATTAACGAAGATGTATGCGTTATATATACCATGTAGAAATATCCTAACAGAAAATAAAACATGCCACAGTTTTACATAATATAAGTGACTTTTCAAAAACTAACCTGCCATTTACAATTACATCGTTTGCTCGCAAAGAAAGACTTGACAATCCTGATAATTAAAGATGAACAAATCTCGATAATTAAACAAAAGCAATGTGCAAATAGTGATTTCTTTGTGTATTAAAATTGACATGATGCATTTGTTTGACTTCCGTTTTAATTTCATATTTTACAATTCACATTTGTTTTGACTTTCTATTCTTTATTTAGCTTTCTATTTACATTTATACTTATTTCTATTTAAACATACATTATGCAAGAGCTAAATCTGCCTATTGGAGGTCTTTCTTTAGGCCTGATCTAAATTATTAATTAGACATTAATCAACCCCCGATGTCATGGCTAGCCTGCGATATTTACTGGATTAGGATCCGATTTGCTGCTCAACTTTCATTCATGATTAAATCATGAAATGGGTTTGAATCCGATCTGCTGCTCAACGCTCACTGATGATTAAACCAAAAGATTGGATAATCGAGACTATGTTTTTTATCGTACCGACTTTAATAATTATGATCAAGGCTAGGCCGAAAATTCAATCGCTAAATTCTCGTTTCAGAGTGGATCAATTTGACTGAAATTTTCAGCAAATACCCTATCTAGTTTTTAACTATTATAGTGGGAACTGCCAGCTCTTTATCTAGTCTCACATAATGTATCTTTTAGTATTGTCAAGTGAATATGGCATATTTCTATACAACATTCAATTATTGGATAATTATAAGAATTTCCAAAGGTTTAAATTACTGCAGACAAGACACTGATTTTCAACGTCTTTTAAGACTTTATCCTTCGACTGAAATGGGAAATGGGGGTTGAAAAAAATGGAGTTTAAGATATGCTGTATGTGGTATAATAAAAATTCATAACTAAATTTTGGGGTCATCAACTGATCATCCATGGGGTTATGAACTGATCATAAATGTAGATTGCAATCTGTAATCCAACGTGGTTTTCATCCATGTGTGAAGAAATATTTTTGTTAAGTCGTCTATCTGACGCGGGACTCGGTTGATCTTCGTCTATATCGAAACAGTACACATATCTATTTCTCCGCTGGTGCCGAAATTTAAAAATACCCCACTGAACAATTTCTGTTATAAAGTAAGAGTCCACAATTTATTGAATCTGTTTCAGGAAGCGATAAGAAAGTTAAAGAAAAAGAACCTACTGAAGAATTTTTTTTCAAAATGAATTATGTTTAGAGTTTACACATCAACTGATATTCATTGTAAAATCAATGAGGGTGCGCTATTAATTCTAACTCTAAATTTTATTGTGGGAAAGAGGTCAATAAATATTAGTTATTATATGACTTATATATTTTCATTGATGTTGTGTAAACATAGCCTTCACAGTAAACATACCTATAAATTTTATAAATGGCCCCCTTATCTTTTCAAATATACATCTCATAAGGATCATAATATATATAATAAACTATTTATTGTTCATATAATGAGTTCGTGAACACCTGTATACCCACCTTTTAATTCAATAGTGTGATTTATCAATTTAAAAGCACTTAAATATTCCATATCAGCCCCGATGACCAGTCAACAATTATTCGTATCATAATCGGACTTAATTCTCTTTAAGATATCTTCGCCGCGTTTTTGTTACATCTAGACCTTCGTCATGAAAAGCCCTTAAGACCCTGTTTCTCCCTCACACATACGTTATAAGAGGCGGCGGCTTAAGAGATGTCTTTGTCTCTTGAATATGCCAATAGCAGATTAAAGGATCGCTTGAAGTGGTGCTTATCTATCAGTCGTTTACAGCTTG